TGAACATCTAGTGCAATAGCAAAGAACAACAAAATTCGAGGGACCATCGGCTCGGTGTAGCACCACGGAACAGCATCAAATGTGATGAAAAACTGAGTTTGGTGGTGCTCAGTCTCGTGCATAACGTTTAATCAGCCATCAAGTAAGAGGAGCTAGACTTTCTCGGTGAGCGATAGTTTTCTAAAAGTTGTTTCATTCTGGTTGACAGCCTGTGCGACAGAGTACAGATGAACAGCGGGAGAAGCCTGCACACAAAGAACTGATCTACAGAAAGGCCATGCCTGACGCGCCGTAGTAATTGGCATCTATCAAAAAGAAGCAACCATGCCAGATACAGTACCTGAAAGCTTGGGCTGGAGATGATTTTTCGTGCACAGTTTCTATTCAGTTTTATTTTGTTTGCGCAAGATCCGAACGCTAACAGTCGCCCGACGGGGGAAGCTTTTTTCTGCGGTCTCGACTGGTGCTAGTGCAGAATGGATCAGTAATACCAGCCTAAAAGTCCACCACAAAATGAATGAGGTTCGTTTGTTACATTTTTGGGGGTAAGTACGTGTTGCACTTCTAAATTGCATGATGTAATGTTTTCACGTTTATATGAAAAAAAAAAAAAATGAAGGCTGCTTCCGAAAAGGTTGTTTAATTTCAAGTAGCGCATATCGGGAATTGCTGCTCTTTTTTAGTGATTGTCCTAATCTTTTGAAGCACAGTTGCGCTTGAAACATGTCGTCGCAATAACAATTATAACCACCAAAGTACACCGAGCAAGAAGTGTATTAAAAACGGCCTCCACAAAGCAGTGCGGAGGTCCTATTTGAGATAGACCAACGAATAGACCGCTTGGGAGCAAATGGTGAAAGAGATTCCAGCTTAGGGAACACTTCGGAACGCTCTTTGTCTCGTGCCCTGTAATCTTACACATTTTAGCTGACGTGCAATAGGTTGGATATAAATTATGAAGCAAATCGCGAAACAAATCGTAAAACGCTATTTTTCCTGGCGCTCTGTTCGGCTCTGTTGACCTTTCTTTGCCATGCTTCTTTCTTGCGGGAAGACATAATATCCAAGGCCTTTTTGCCTGGTGCTGTTATTATAGCTCCGTGGCATACAACATGTGAAGCCACCGATTGAAAACCATGAGTAAACACCTGGCTAAAAGTCTCGTGCTAACCTGAAAACTTCCAAACGCCGGGCGTACAATGCGCATCGACGCGGCCGGAAAACTGGGGAGAACTACAGGTACCAGGATGCACCGCGGCAGCGGTGGCGTCGCGCAACTCCTGGTGAGATCGGTCTATTGCGTTAAAATAGAAATTGTTTTCCGCTTCGCAACTTTTAAAAGTCAACATGCTCGTGTTATTAACGCCCCGTCAACATCTACGTCACCTTTGATATGCCCCTACCTTGAATGCTTCGTGTTATTAGCCAAATAAATTATTTGAGCACACTGACCAGCGTCAGCGAGCGAGCGCACGGAAGATCTTGGAGAATCTATCCCCGTCTCTTCCGCCGTCTGGGAATGAGCCTACATTAGATGGTCGCGTCTCGTGGATACACTCGTGCCCCCTGGCCCAGCGCAACAGGCCTGATAGGTCTGTAGCTCCCAAGGTTTGAGCAGCGCTTCTCGCGAGAAAAATCATATATTCTTAGATCAACGCCTTTTTACGCACCTCACGTTGCTGAAATGCGCAATGAAAGAAAACGTGCACGAACCAGCTGAAAGAATTGCGTTCTTTAAAGTCACGAGCTGTGCACGTATTTGATCCCCGTATTCGAACGTGGGTCTTGCATGATCGAACGCTACAACGCCGCCTTTATTGTCGCGTCTTGCAGACTCAGAAGCCAACATTACATGGCCGCGTCTTGTGAACTCGCTCGTCCCTTTAGTCTAGTGGCGAGTGCAACAACTTTGTTGCCTTCTACAAGGAGTCATTGACCCAGTAAGTATGACGTCACTGCGGTAAACAAACTGTTGCTAGGAGCGTTGCTATGGACGAATACATGGGACTAGATTTCACTCTGAAAGAACCATCGTTCAAAATCGGACGTGGAATTTGAACGTCTAAAACGAATAGATATAGAGAGTATAGATTTCATACTTACTACGGCGGAAGTTAGCCGTCTGTTTATGAAATATTTGCGAAAGCAACCTCCGGTCCTTGAGACGTCTCGAGATACCTACCGCAGACGACGAACGCATACGTAATGACTGAAGTATGCCGTCCACAAAAGTTTGAATCGTTTAAATTATTATACGATTTTGATATTCTATTTATTGAGAACGTGGCAGAGCAAAGAAAACTCGTCAGGTTCCTAAAAACAAATTGCGTTTGCCTGCCATACTGAGTAGTGCCTGAATAAAGAAAAGCACACGTTTAGAGATGTGCGAAAAATACAGCGACAGAGCATTTGTTTAGAACATCCTATCAAAGCAGCGCCAGGCCCTCTTTTTGATTGTACAGTTGACGTGCATAAAAATGAAGGATCAATTTTTCTGGCTCTAACATGATCGGTTTAAGAGCTCACACTTCGCTTGGTGGGATCGCAATATGGGTGTGTGTGTTTTTCGTATCTTCGTGTGACCATCACACTAAGAAAATATCCTGCCGATCTATCGTTTGCAGTAAGACCACAAATAGTAAAATATTTTATAAAAATAACAAGCAAATTGTATATATGTTACGGACAGTTCGTTTAATCAAACACATGTGCCCGGAGGCAATTTATGTGGCATCTGAAGTCCTTGAAACGTGTGCTGGGTTGCACTTCGACATTGACGCACTTCATGTCGTATTCCAGGCAGCACAGGTCATTGGGCCAATATTGGGAATATCTTGTAAGAAGAAGGCCAACATCGGCCCACCGTTTACTCTCAGTAACCAATATTAGAAATGTCTTGGAAAAATAGGGCCGTGATTGGCCCCCTTTATTCTATCACCAATATTGGGAATCCATTGGAATTCCATTGGCTAAATTGGAAACCACCTCCAATGTTGTGCCAATGAGCCTCCAAGTCGCCCAACATTGGACGGTCACTGGCACCCTAATGGACGAAATTGGATACCAATTCCAATCAAGTTCTAACGGGATTCCAATGTTGTCTTAAACTGGGCAGTCAGTGCATGGCACTTCATTGGATAAATAGGGCATAATTTCCAATGAAGCGCCAATGGGCTTCTAATATTTTCCAATATTGTGCAGTCATTGGCATACCATTGGATAAATTGGACACCATTTCAAATAAAGCATCCAATATTTTTAAATATTGGGAAGTAATTGGCACTTTATTGGAAAAATTGGATACCACTTCCAATGAAATGACAATAGGCTTCCGATGTTTTCCAATATTTCGCTGTCATTCGCACCAAATTATATAAATTGGACTCCATTTAAAATAATGCGCGAATGGGTATCCAATGGTGTCTAAGATTGGGCCGTTATTGGCACCCCATTAGATAAATTGGATATAATCTCAAATAAAGTACCAATTATATCCCAATGGTGTCCAATATTGATTAGTCATTGGCACCACATTGGATAAATTGTATACTATCACAAGTTAGTGCCAATGAACTTTCAATGGTCTCCAATTTTGAGTAGTCACTGGCACCCCACTGAATAATAGGAAAACCACTTCCAGTGGAGTGCTGACAAGCTTGTAAGTTTGGTAAATATTACGTAGTGATCGGCACCTCACTTAGATAAAATGGATGCTACTTCCATTGAGGTCCCACTGGGCTTCCAAATGTGTCAAATATGGGGCAGTCATAGGCAACACATCGGAAAATTTGGATACCACTTCCCATGGGGTGCTAAAGTGCTTCCAGTGTTGTCCAATAATGGGTAGTTATTTGTACCCACTGGATAGTTTGGATGCCAAGTTATAATAGATTTTCAATGTTTGACGATTTTGGAGAGTTATCGGCATTCCTTTTAATAAATTGGGTACCATTTTTAATTAAGTTTGTAGGTTTCTAATTTCCCTCGCTATTGGGGAGTCATTTAACTTAAAATGAAAATCTAGATACCCTATTCAATAAGCTATCAAAGGATTTTAAAATTGTAGAAGATTGGTACATCACCGTATCTACAGAATCACTGTTTTCTAATTGCCTTAAAATGTTGAACTATACTCGAATTGTGATGGGCAACTTTGATGATTTTTTGAATATATTCCTAATGTTGCACAACAATACAAATTCAAAGGACAACCGGAATCACGATGTCCTAGTTGCCGCTCAAAATTTATATCAGAAATTGTTTGAAAAACCTCGGTTTCACACCGCGTCAATATCGGACCAATTAAATATGCTGCATCGACGTTTCCACGAAACATGTTCGGATCTCTAGTTGAAGCGTCAACCTCTTTGCTCGAAGTTACGACAGAATTAGGTAAGATGTTCTGTGAGCCATCGTATTTTGTCGGAGACTTGTGGCCTAAACGCAAAGCTAGCTGCGCCGATCCGAAACCCCGCTCTTCATCGCAGCGTTCATGCGATTGTGTCTCCTAAGTTGCGGTGAATCTCTTAAAATTCACCCCAGCAGCGTAATTCTCGTCATTTTCACGTGCCGGTTGCACGAACCAGTTCGCGCTTCGTTCTTGATTTTAGCTGCGACTGCGCACTTTCTCGACAGTGGCAGGCTCTCGGCCAGAAAGCGCGAGGGCGTCCGTATAAGACGCGACCATGTAATGACTGCACCGAGCACAAAGGGGCACTGCAGCGTTCGATTATGCACGAGTGAGTGCCGTCTACAATCGTGCGTCAGCGTCTGTCTTCGGGCGATAACTGTGCACTTCAAACGCACAAACAAAAATGTTAAAATAAAAACACAACAAAATGCAGCTTCAGCTTTCGCTGTCCTATCAAAACGATAAGTATGCTTTTATTATAGCTCGCGTTCTTCTCATTTTCTTTCACACTTTTTGTATACCCACCAATAAAATTATTCCAGCTCATCGTCCGCGAGCGACATGAAGAGTAATGACGGGCAACCGAAATGCGACCGAGAATATTACATTTTTCTCACAAGAGCCGATGTCCAAACTTGAAAGCTACAGGCCTATAGAGGGGTCCTAGCTGCGTAGCATTCCCCGTGTCACCAAGCACAAATGGAAGGGACAAAATGGAGACGCGGTAGACACTCCAATATCGGATACGCGTTCGAGCGGACCTAATCGCGACCTTGGCTTGGATTGCGAAACCCGTGACAACGCTCCGAGGACAACAATCGGCGTGCGCAGCGGAGATGTGATACGGACAGTCTTGCTTTCAGATTGAGTACGGACGTCCACCGAAGGCAGTCGGCAACCTCGTGGTCAGGTAACCAGTTGTCAACTGAGGGAAGTTTCTTTCGGATTACCCTATACCGAGGTAAGTTAGTACCGGTTTTGAAAGTGGCACGTGCGTTGGACGCCCGTGTGTGTCTTTTGTTTATTTTCGAGAAAGTATGTGTGTACTAGATCGTTGCGTGTATTTTTCGCGTTAGTTTTCGGAATGTCGTCTTAAAAGGGACGAGTTAACCGGAATGTCACCTTAGCGGCATATGTCGTTTTCGCAATCATAGAAAAGGGAACGAAACAAACATACGACGAGGTGAGCACAACTGCCGTCTCACCTGTTTTCTATTGATGGCCTCTTCGCTTTTATAGATCAATCAGATTGCCGTTCAGGTTGTAATTAAGGTTCCGCCTTTACTGATATGTTCAGTACAAACCTTGAAGCGCTCGTGGGAAGTAATCTTTGAAATTAGATATTCAAAAGCTTCGATTTTGTTTTGCATCAATTACCGATTGGCGGCAAATTTCTTTGTCCGTCCTCACAGTATTAAAAAGAACCATTAATTCTAAAAAAAAAGCAGAATAAACCATGTCCCGCCTTTAGCCATTGCGCCCAATGTACTGTTTTCGTTGAAAAGCATCAACTATACTTTAGAAATGAAAATGAGCTATCTAGGTAATGAGCATTGATTTCCACCCATGACTAAGGTGGACCTTACTGAAGAATCTCTGTGTGCTTGTCGCAACTTCTTCGGGCATTGAGCGTGCCTAGAAACGCTTATTTTTTGGATCGAACTTTATTATTTTGCAAGAGCACACCGCTACGCGAACCGCAGCGCGCAGAACGTGAAAGAAGACAGCCCCGACTCAAACGAATCGGTTCCAGCAGCCCGTTGGGAAACGTCTTGAGTTACGGCGTGCTCCTACTTCAAGTCAGCTGTTTTGCAACGTACAGTCAGCACGAAATGAAACCCGAACGCCGTAACGCGTGGCCGTTGATACAGGCTGCTCCACCTGGAGGGCCCCTGAGAACCAATGAAAATGCGCTCGGGTGCGAGGGTGCGGGTCCAACTAAGATGAACTCTACTCTCGCGCGGCGCGTCTGGGAGTTCCGCGTTTCGCCGGTGGCGCTGTAAGCGCCGTCACATCCGATACAAATAGCACTGTTACTCGCTTTGTGTATCGGATTCCCAGCGATATCTCTTCAGCGCTGTCATTCACTATCGCTTTGTGTATCGCAAGGGCGAATTGAAAGTTGAAACATTTCGTGCTCAGAAGACCCGTAGTGCTTATGACGTGTCACCGGAACCACGCTGGGGCTCCGGTGAACAACGCGCCACGCGCGGTTTCTGAGAAATAGTGAAACATCATAAACGCGAAATAAAATTTGTTTATTCGCACGACCATACTCTTTATGAAAAAAAAAACATTCTGCAACAGACCGACGCAGATGCCTAGGTTTTTATGAGCAATGCCCATGTTTTTGCGCGAGGTTATCAGTCGAATCTTAAAAAGCGAGGAATCGCTTGCTGACGCTCTCTTTGGTAACCACCGATATGCCAGGCGTATCAATTCCGGAGCAGAATAAATTCATCCCCCTGTCAGAGCAGGGCCTATCGCAAAGAGCTATAGCCAGGTTAAGCGGCCGCCCGGTGTCGACCGGGCGACAGCGCGGCGACAGAAAAGCACCCCGAGTGACGGCGCTTACACTGCGCCACCGGCGAAACGCGGAAGGCCTAGACGCCCCGCGCGAGGGTTGAGGACATCTTAGTAGGACCCGCACTTTCGCACTCAGGGGCATTTTCATTAGTTCTCAGGGGCCCTCCAGGTGGAGCAGCCTGTATCAATGGCCACGCGTTCCGGCGTTCGGATTTCATTCCGTGCTGACTGTACGTATACATTCAATCCACTTTTTTGATGAGACCGCACTGTGCATGTGCACCTCTCTTATACAGAGCAGTTAATATCGGGCTCTGAAAAATCACATTTTTTGGCAGTTATTGACCTTTAACACACGTATCTTGGGTACCATCTGATATCGGAAGTTTAGCGGTTGCCCCAGTACGTTTTTCTGCGATTCCACCCCTATCTCTTGCTCCGTTTCGGAATTTAATGTCCCTCCAAGCCGGATGCCTAGCTAAGCTTCAGATGCTTGGCAAGAGCCGGCATGAAGAAGCCTCGTTGCAGCAACAACGCTCACGAATTATTATTCCAAGTCGGAGAGGCCCAGATGAGCTTGGCATGGTCCTCCTTTCATCGCGGAGACGCCAGAATCTTCCCTGGGTCTACCAAGCAGCTTCAACCTAAGAAACAACCGGGTGGCTACCGACCCCAAGTCACTTTCACTCTGTACCATGGCGCAATGCGCGCACCGGAGGAATTGATCCCTAACTGAAGATAACGTAATAAGGCAAGCGAGCTGGTTCAAGTTCAACATTTCTAAATTCCAAGACGGAGGCTACGAGGAGGGGACAAACACAAGACGTCTCAAACACAGCTACTAAATATTATTCAGGATCCCCTCTTCACGGACCCAAAGGCACGACAACTCATGCCATTTGTGAGATTGTGGGATGTAAGATTTTTTTATATTTCTCCGCCCCCCCCCCCCCCCCCTTACCCCAAGCGTTGCCAGCCTGCCCATCACCGACCGAGACGATGCTCTGCAGCACGGAAAAAATCCGCTCGTCGAACGATGTTTTATTGACCGATCGTTTCGTCGACAAGCGAAGTTTCATTGACAGTTCGCTTCATCAACAGACCTTGCACCGTTTCGTCGGACAGACCGTTGATGTTTTTGCAACAGACTTCCCGCGTCTTGCCTGGTCCACGGAAACAGAGCGTTTTTCTTCAGCGATTGCAAAACAGCTGTTTTATGGCGACTTGACCTAACCAAGTATTTTCCACTATTTCAAAAAAAAAAAAAACTTATGACCACTAAAACCACCAAACTTATACCACAAAAAAAAAAAAAGAAACATGGCATAGTTGATGAGAGGGCATTATGAAAGATTGTGTTAGAAAGTGCTGGTACTTTAGTTCGAAAGCAAATTGCATTCATAGTACTTTACTTCAAGTCTATTGCACCCAGTGTGCTTACTACTTTAATTGAAGTACATAACCTCTCATTTACTTTGTGCTTTACTTCAGGTACTTATTAGATGTACTTTACGCAAGACTGTAACCAAGCAAACACCTACTCCAAAATTAAACTCAGGCAGTGCTAAACCTCAAAATAGAAATTATACTCCCGAAGTACATCACCGACAAAAAGAAAAAGAAAAACAATTAGACACGCAGAAGCAGAATCAAATATTAAAGCGTTTCTGTGAAAAAAAAAAGATGCTTTCTATTTTCTAGCAGAATTTCGCAAACGGATCAAAACCTGTGCACTTCCTTGCGAGAATAGGAAACGCAGTGTTTCTTTAATTACCAAACCCTCGTTATTTCATTTGAAACAACCATCGATTCCACTTGGTACAATAAAAATATAAAAGTAACTTCAAGAGTAATTCTCTACTTTTTACGGTAGTTAGTAATTTGCTCAATTACTTTCCACTTGAGTAATTTCTTCTCTACTTAAATTACTTCCGAGCCAATTACTCAGTAACTTAACTTAATTACTTATTTTTAGTAACTTGTACATCTCTGGCTCAGGGGATGAATCTTTTAGTGAAAAGTAAAAGCTCATGGCGTAATTATTTGCGAAAACCGGTAAAACAAGCCACTCGACTGTATTCCTGGCAGCCATTCGTTTGCTTCCCCACAAAGCACGTCGCAGAATGTCACGAAGGCGAAGAGATTTGCTATCGTAATATTTGTTATTGTATTATGCGGACTCCGTGAGGCTGCAATGGTTGTGTCGAATTAATGTTTGTGAAGGGGCTATTCACTTAGCTTGGAAAGATGCTTCACGGGCAGAGGAATCGCTTATCGACCAACATGAATGCAGTCAAAGCCGCGACTTGAGGCAGAAGTATACGGAGCTACGCCGTGGTGAGCTCAAAAGGCCGGTTCACATATACAGCGGAGCGCTAAGTTAGCGCTCGAAGGAGCGCTCATGTGGCGCTTCCTGGCGCGTGATGTAGCGCTCTGTTTGCGCTTCAGAAGCTCTTTGTTAGCGCTCCATTAGCGCTACAGAAGCGCTTTGTTAGCGCTCTGTTAGCGCTACAGAAGCGCTCTGTTAGCGCTCTCACGCCCCTTGTGCCGTGCTTGCTGCTGCGGAATAGCGCGTGCACGGTGATTTTTGTGTTGTTGTTTTTCCTTTGGCATTCAAAGAAGAGGAAGTAAAAGAGCCGCTCTCTAAGCAGAGGGTCGGGCAGGCGACCCAGAGTCATGGACTCTGTGCGACTAATTGATTGGGTACGACCTCATATCTTTCAATTCGATATGTGTGACGCTGGTTTCAAGGACACGCAGGTAAACACGATCGACTTTGAAAGAGCTCTGTGTCTCGGTCCCTCAGCCTAGAAACAAGGTTCGCCGGGGACCCATCGGTATCTCGGTGGCGAGAGATTTCGCGCACCCAAAAGGCTCTTCTGGGAGTTAAGCCGTCCACACAGATATGCACTAATCGCGTATGTAAGAGCATTTGTCGCATTTCTATTTGAGCATCTCACATGTCCGCCATGGTGCTGCTGATGCACACCCAACCACAAGTACCGAAACCGCATGCACCTGCTAATCCGCAGCACCGCGGTACAAGAAGCGCTAATGACGCGCTAACACGGCGCTACTGAAGCGCTATAACAAGGCGCTACTGGAGCGCTAACAAGGCGCTACTGGAGCGCTAACAAGGCGCTACTAAAGCGCTAACCACGCGCTATATTAGAACGAAGTCACGCGCTGGAAGCGCCATATGAGCGCTCCTTGGAGCGCTCACGTAGCGCTAACTTAGCGCTCCGCTGTATGTGTGAACAGGCCTAAAAACTTCTAGCGCTCATCCGAGCGCGCCACTTAGAGAATGGCTCTCGAGGAATCATAGTATACTTGAAAAAGCAAAATATAGGATATCCTTTTATTGATCTTATCATGTCAACATTAAAAACTGTGAATATAGGTATTTTCCGACATATTTCGAGCCTGTTCAGTTTT